TTTTATTTTAATATTTAATAAATAGTATTTCGCTGTTACTCTGTATGTAGTAGGTTTTGCCATGCCATGGAAAGGCCGATTTCGTCTCTTGAATTAATACAAGTGGATGTGTCGTATGCTCTAAAAATTTCCATCTCCTCCAACCATTTTAGATGGTGAATGTGCGGTGTGGTGTCAATTATCTGCGCTCTATTGACAGACGCACAACATCACTCTCCACCTACGCCACTGATCCCGAAATAGTGGCGGACTTCAATAGAGCGCAGATAATTGTCACCACACCGCACATTCACCATCTAAAATGGTTGGAGGAGATGGAAATTTTTAGAGCATACGACACATCCACTTGTATTAATTCAAGAGACGAAATCGGCCTTTCCATGGCATGGCAAAACCTACTACATACAGAGTAACAGCGAAATACTATTTATTAAATATTAAAATAAAAAATAAAAATAGAAGGTACTGGGGAACATGTGAGAACAGTATTGAATAAGTATGTATCTCAATCGCATGTTTTTAAGTATCATAATAATATCTTTCTCTTGAATTTGGACATTGATCGTTAACTTCGATCACGTTCAAACATATCACGTGACGAAATAAACGAACAATCCGAACAATTCAAACTCAACAGAGTTCGTATTTATTCAAATTTCGTTTTTGGTGTTCGATCCAGCTGTTTCACCTGAAGAAGAGCCCAGAAGGGGTTATGAAAACGTTCGTCGTTGAAAGATTATTCGATACACATCGGTTATAGGTTCAAGAACATCATATTTATTTTATACAATCCGGTGTGCAGTAGCTGTTATATAAAAAAATTAAAGTGATTAAAGATAAACTTGTGTATATTACATGCTTAAACAAAAATATAGCTAAGCAACTGTACTATCTGTATGCAAACATCACTGAAACTGTAAAATATATGACAAATTCACCCATGCTCTTGAAGTTTATAGAACATGTGCATTTTAGATTCCCTAAAATATATGCCTCTAGAAACCAGCAGACCATAGAAAAAGAAAACAGAATGAGTTTTACATTCAAAATATCAAATTTACCAGCTTCAAATAATTTGAAGAAATGTGATAGTTTGAAGAAATATGCCAGACTCTAGATATTCACCATAAAGAACCACATCAAGATGATTCACAGCATAAAGTATCTGAAACAAATTATTATTCTGAGGAAGACAAATTTTTATTAAAATTGGTCTTTTTCTCTTTGAAATACATACTCAATTCCCCCCCTCTTCCAATATTTCTTTCCATCTAATTCACAAAATAATAGCTCTGGAGTAGCAAAAATTTATATGAGCATATACATTGCTATTTTCAACATCTTAGAAGAAAAATATTTTTATCTGCTCTATCAGAATGTTTAGCTATTAGTGCCTGAGAGTAGGAAGAAGTAGGGAAAAAATGGGAAATCCTTGTCCTTTAGTCATCTGTTTTTGTACAAAATGAACATAAAACAAAATCTCTCGACTTAGTTATGGTTGGATCAAACAATGAATTAATGAGAATTATATTATATATACACCTAAGGCAGATTGATAAAATCAGAAAAATATGACCACTTAGGCAGGTGACCAGTTAGCAAAATTTGACTTCATTTCAATATCAACTCATAAAAACTAACCTTTTTAAGTATTTCAACTAACTACTTCAAAAATTCAGCTTCTGATTTTTATTATAAATTTAGAAGAACGCATTCATTCCTCCAAACATGAAAAATTCAAAGAAATGGATAATGGATACAAAATATATATCCTAATACAGTCAATAATTTAACAAAAATTAATACAAATGAAACTTAAAAAGATATATTATAGATAGTTGTTATTGTTTTTAAATGTCTTGGCTTTTTAAAATAAACTAATACAGTAGAGCGTCGTTTATCCGAAAGCTGGTTATCCGAAACGTCCGTTATCCGAAAGCATTCCAGTCGGCAAATTTAAATTTTCGCTAGTGCTGTGGCGCTGCAATCTTCAGCTNAAATATGATATTCCGAATACTGTATATATTCTTTCTTGTTTAGTTGACTGATGAGGGGCCAAAAGCCCAAAATGTGTATCAATTCAATATTTTTATGTTAACTTATCAGTTTAGTGTTGCATGGCATATTATATGGTAGGCCTATTTGTTAAATTAAAATAGTTTACATAGCATACATCTATGATTTAATTTAATTTTCCAAACTATAAAATAATTATTAATTGGTTCATAAATTATGGCTTTATTTTGTATGCAATAATTTTTGGGGAAATATTGAGTCCTGAAAATATTCTGCATCCCTTTTCATAAGTTGCATTGCACCACATTACTCCTTGCTGCCTGCAGATGGCTACACTTAATCAACCATATTGTGAGAAAAAAAATCAACATGGCAGCCAAGGAGGCAAAATTCCCTGACTCTTCATGACTTTCAAGGTATGTAGGAACTCTGAATATATTATATAAAATCCTTTCTTTAAAACCAAAATAAATTTTGGTTTGCAAAAAATCAAAGAATCCTAATTTTAATGTAATAACCTATCTAAAACTGAAACAAAATTAATTATATTATTAATGGTAGTTTTTCATAAAAATTGTTGAAATTGTGACAGTTCTAAATATTTGATAAAAAGTTTATTACAACTGCCATTAATTATATAAATATTAGAATACATTTTAAAAATTCTGTTAAAAACTACTTACATTTGCTCAATAATCTGTTTTTCATTCAAGGCATTTGGAAGATCACTCTTATTACCCAAAACCAGAACAGGAATTTCAGAGAGTTGTGGCTTTTCTAATAAACTATGAAGTTCATTTCGTGACTCTTCAATCTTCCCATGATCAGCCGCATCAACCATATAACTAATAAAAAAGAATTGTATAAAATTTTAATTTTATGTTTTCAATTTATTTCTAACATTTTTATATATTTAAATGCACAGAGATCTAACTTTCTTTGAAACAGCACCAGTAGAAAGCAAGGCAAGATCTAAAATATATATTAACAATCTATAGATACTTGCTTATAATTATTCTTTATGTTATTATTGAAGATATCGATACTGAAGCACACAATGTTTTAGCAAAATTTATGTCCAAAAATATCAATAATCATTTAGAATTTATAAAGTGAAAGTTCTAGATCTCATTGCAATATTTATCCAAAAGAATGCTGAAATTTGATGAAATCTTGAATATTTATTCATTCAGGATTTTATGTTTATAGAAATGCAAAGGTGTCTTTTCAACAAAAAAATTTGAAGATTTTTTAACTAAACATTAAATAGAGTTGAAGAAAAAAAATTGTTTAAGAAATTGGTATAAAATGGATTGAGCTACAGCTTATCTCAATAAGCAGTTATCAAAATACTACAATTTTTACCTTTACAAAATTAAAATTATAGGTAGAGACAATATCATAATTGAAAATTATTAAAAAAAAAAAAAAAATTAACTATCATATATGATAGTTAAGTTTATTACTTAACAAAAAGATATCTTAAATGTACATCTTATTTTAATAAAGTTTAGTTTGTACTCCAATTTCAAGATATACAGTCGATTCTGCTTAATTGGGACACATTGGGGCTAATCCATTTTGGCCCAAACTCTAAAATATGTAATAACTAAGTAAAAAAATAATAATTAGGTGCTAGGGAAAATAATAATAATTTTAATGCTTTATTAAGCATACAGAAAATATTTGTAATATAAATTTGTCAGACTCTCGACAATAGATAACTCATTTGCATCACACTAGTGTTGCCAAATACAGTATTAGTAGTGACGTACACAAGGGTTAACCATTCAATCAGGAAGGGAGAAAGGAAAGGGTTTGTCTAACTTGTAAGTCACCTTACGGTCTTCCTTTGAGCACAGTTTCCTTTACTTAGAGATGGGCCACTTCAGCCATAGAATCTGCCAGCTCCAGATGCTGGTCTCAACGATCGGATGGCTGCTGTCCTAATCTAGATATTTTTATGCACACAATACCTTCCAAGGAAACTTTAGCTGTCTTCTAACTCAGTTGAGAGATTGAAAAATTGAAACTTCTAACTCAGTTGAAAAATTGTCTGAGGATCTTCATCCTTTTGCTTTTAAGGGGCTCATCCAGTCCAATTCATAGTAGGGTCAGTAGCTTGCATTCAGGTCCACCTCAGACATGATTCCTGTGTGATACGTTCTGCTATGTTGACCCCTCCAGAAAAATCAAACTGCCTGAGCAAAAGACAAAATTGCTTTGTCTCTGCCAACCATTAGATCTACAGGACATTAGTGTATGTAGTGTCTTCATATTTTTAGAAGATCTCTAAAATATATCAAAAATTGCTAAATTCCTTTTCTGCTACTGTCTCAATTAAGCAATTAAATTACGTATTAATTTATTAGTTTGGTTTCTGTACTTTGAGATTGGCCCAATAAAGTGGCTGCCCCGATTAACCAGTGGCCCAATTAAATGGAATCAACTGTATATCAATAATAGCGAGGTTGAGGCCGGAGATTTAAACGCAAAAACGTGTATGTCAGATGTTCAACGGTGCTTTCCTGTAAGCCTAGAAGTTTGACAATGGTGTTTGGAATGTTGAGCATGATTCCACTGACTATCCAAACACCATTGTCAAACTTCTCAGTTACAGGAAAGCAGCGCTGAACGTCCAACATACACGTTTTCACGTTTAAAACTTCAGCCTCAACCTCGCTAATGTTTGGAAAACAAACATCTAGTTGCTTTCAAGCTCAGAATAAATCAAATATATAGGTTATTGTATCAAAGAAACATAATATTCTTTTAACATTAACCATGTAAATGAGAATAAAATAAAATCATCTTTATAATAGCACTTATAATTAATTAATTTTAAAGAAACTTTGACTTCTGTATTTACATAAATTCATGATAATTCACTTGTAAAGAGGAACCAAATCCAAAGTTTATAAAATACAGTGGGTGATCAGTTAACAAACATAATCCATTCCAAGACTTTGTTCACTATCTGAATTGTTCATTAAACGATTATCAATTTATCGTAGGTTTTAATGGGAATTTAATTAATTCGTTCTGGAGACCCCAAAATTAAAAAATATACACTTTCTTACTACATTTATTTATATGTAATAATAAAACTACATACATACACAGTCTTGCATTTTTATTAGTCATGTTTTTTCCATTTGAAAGGGTTAAAGAATCTGTCTAATGTCGATTGCTTTTCTCTCTTCTTCACAATTTTTCGTAAGTAATTAATAGCATTGTAATTGTAGAGATCCCCAAGCCTCAACCTGGTTTGGATGCCATTCTAAGACCATTGTTCTGACATCCTCCCACTTCTCCAAAGGATCTTTAATAACAGATATCGGTATTAATCCTCTTTTTCAGAAGAAAACATATCTTGTCGAGTTTCTTGGTGTTCTTCTGTCCTCAGATCCATTTCAGTTTCCATTATGAACTCTTCGATGTTCTTTATTTCTCAGATGTGATTTTTGTTACTCCTTTAGCTGCTTGAGTCTTCTTGATTATACAGTAGTTTTCTTAAATAAGATTGAACTGAAGCCTACTGTAGACCTGTTTACGCCATATTGCCCAGCAACATTAGGCATCTTCTGCCCACTCTCTACCTTTGCTATTATAATCTCACTTTTCGAAAAGAAAAACAAATGCAAAACTTAACGAATCCCTACCCGATAGTCTCGCAAATACACAAAAGAATTGTTTTGTCAGAAAAATAAAAGGCTGGAATTACAAGAGAGAATTTCAAAGTTTGGAGGAATACTATCTGATCGGTATATACAGGCTTGAGCGTCGATGTCAACGTCTCCCACACACTGAAAAGTTTCAAATTGTTGCCCAAAGACAAGGGAAGACCAATCGGTATTCATTATTTTACGTCACTTCTTCTAGTGTTCTTTATCCAATCATGTGTTCATTGTCCGAACATAAAAATCTTTTGCGAAAGTGTTCATATTTGTTCGTTAACCGATCACCCACTGTATAATATTTTTTATTGGTATAATCATAACATATATATATATAAATTGTTCAACAAATCTAAATTATACAAGTTTAGTGTAAAGATAAACAATTAGCTCAAAAGTGCACACTAATGTAATTCATTTCAGATGTTTAAAACGTAAGAGTTTTTTAAATTTTACACAAAAATATATATATATCATTAATTATAAACAATGTTTACCAATAGAATTCAAATTTATTCACATTAAAATAATTCAATTCTAACTTACATGATGGCATTCACTCCTCGACAATATCTTTCCCACATACTTCGAAATCTTGGCTGACCACCAATATCCCAAATCTATCAAAAAAATTTAAATATGTTATTTTAGTAGGTCTGGATTATTCAAATTTATGGAAAACAAAAAAACTGGTTCATCTGTTAGTAAATAGAATTAAATTTTAAAAATAAATAAAAATTTGTAATAAGCTAAATAAAATAACTACAGTTGGCTCCTTTTAATTCAAAATCCTAAGAAGTTTGAATTATTCATTTTTGGAAATTAAACTAGTTTTCTGCAGGTTTCTAGTGTTTGGAACTATTTCATACTGTTTGGCAATATCACATTTTCTCTAACTTTCTTTTCCATTCCTTCAGCTTAAAAAAATTAAAATAAATATGACGTACTTGAACCTATAACCGATGTGTATCGAATAATCTTTCAACGACGAACGTTTTCATAACCCCTTCTGGGCTCTTCTTCAGGTGAAACAGCTGGATCGAACACCAAAAACGAAATTTGAATAAATACGAACTCTGTTGAGTTTGAATCGTTCGGATTGTTCGTTTATTTCGTCACGTGATATGTTTGAACGTGATCGAAGTTAACGATCAATGTCCAAATTCAAGAGAAAGATATTATTATGATACTTAAAAACATGCGATTGAGATACATACTTATTCAATACTGTTCTCACATGTTCCCCAGTACCTTCTATTTTTATTTTAAATTTTTTATTTTAATATTTAATAAATAGTATTTCG